CTCTGGATGGCATTAATCTGGCCTCCAGTTCTAATGTAAAGAAACTTGGTGTTATTTTTGATCAGGATATGCCTTTTAACCCCCACATTAAAAAGGTTACCAGGACCGCCTTCTTCCACCTGCGTAATATCACTGGATTCTACAGATTGGCTTGGTGGTCTCCTGGTGTTCTACAAAACAGCGTCGGTGGCTATTCGGGCCATTTCCTGGTTGCCTGACCAATATGAAGGATTGCCGTTCTATCAGCACTCAGACTTTTGCCTTGAGCGAGCTGGAACTCGGTCTGCAAGCGGTTCTGTTGAGGTTCGTGGGCCGGCTGTGGTTCCTGGACTTTGCTGGCCAGAAGGAYTTGATCTTGGAGAAAGCTGATAGCTCGGCTCGGCTGGATTGTCCACACTATTTGTCTGATTGGATTTGCTACAGTGGATGTACCAGCGGACATGAAGGCAGATGAAAAATTGTTATTGTCTGCCTGCCCAAAACATTTTCTTCTGTTCCCAAATAACTGATTAAAAATCTGGCTCTCCACTACAATGGCCTTGAGCTGTGGAACTAAATCTTCCTGGATGTATACGTCAACTGAGGGTCTGAGGGTCTGTATACGTCAACTGAGGGTCTGAGGGTCTGAGGGTCTGCCCCCCCCCCCCCACACACACACACACACTCCCTTCCAATCTGGTTCCTGGAGCAAGCTGAGGGCCGCACAGAATGAACAGTTACCATCCATATTCTGAACTATGGCTGCGTGGGTTTTGGGGGACTTGATTCTTCGGGCTCATTCTTCAGATATTCACACAAGTGCATACAACACTCATGGCTTCAGATACATGCCCCCCTAAACTCAACTTACTTCTCTGGCTAATAAATGTGCTCTATGCAGAGTTTTTTTCATAAACACCATAGTGTGTCACATTTGTTGATGTATAATGATGTTTTGTTTTTTTCCCCTCATCTTCCCTTGTGTAGTTTTTAGTTTTTCTTTTAAGGTTTGCGCCTCCTCATGATGTTTTCATGATGATGATCCTTGTTCTGTGCAGGGGTTTGTGGCTGCATGACCCAGGGTACCTGTCCTCCTACGCTTGTTATGTTCTGTCTTCTTGTGAATGGGTGTTCTGAACTGTAATTTCATTGTGCTCTGTACAATGACAATAAATGCCTCTCTTCTCTTCTCTTCTCTTCTCTTCTCTTCTCTTCTCTTCTCTTCTCTTCTCTTCTCTTCTCTTCTCTTCTCTTCTCTTC